TAACAAAAATTATAAATTATCATAAATCAATATTTTTTTGATAATTGTATATTTAAAAACACATTTTACTATCATAATCTAAACAAATTTTAATGTATTAAATTAACTTTTAAAAAATATATTCAAATATAAATTTCATTGCAATAACTGATTTTCACTAAATTGACATTTGCTAAATAAATTTTGACTAAATGAACTTTTAATAAATTAAAAACCAAATATACACGTAGTTTATTTTCTAGTTTAGTGTTACTTTTCAATTCAATTTACCCATTCTAATTTGTGCTTATGCAAACTATTTTAATAAGACTTGTTTCATTCTATCTTAACTTGCATGTTTGTATTCGGGTAAATTAAGGTAAAAGAGCTTGGGAACCCAATTTATTTCAAACTCCACATCTTTGGCATGCATGATATTTTGATTGTTTGGTTGATTCATCTCCCAAACATGAACACATATTTTTAAATATACTTTTTCATTTTTTTAGTTTTCATAACAAAAAATAAATTTGAAAATAGGTTGTCAAACAGATTTTATATATTCGGAACAAGCTGCGAACGTAGGATGGAAAAGGTGAGAAAAAAATGACTGACTTCAAATTCAAGTCCATTAGCGTCACAAATTGGAGACCTTGTAAAGAAGGAAAAGTGGAGCCTGAAAACATATAGAGATGATAAATGAGTCGTGAATAATGAAACTAATAACACATATTTAATTCAAAACTTTAAATTTTTAAGTTTATATCTTATTTTATTTTATTATGAGCTATTTATTAAATTCAGTTTTATCTAATTTGAGGCTTTTGATATCAATTTATGTCTGTTCACACTAAGACATCCTGACGTATAATGTAATCAAGAATTGAAGATATAAAATATAGCATAAATTTTGTTAAAAAAGACATAACTTTCTACACATTTGAATAAGGAATAAAAAAAAAAATTAGAAACCATTCATCATTGTCCGTTGAAAACGTTACTTTATGGCGGAAAATCAAGTGCACATACTCGGTCAGTTTGGTCGTCCAAAGTCATATTCCGCGTGCGAACTCGGAAGAAACACGAGGACCATCTGGAAATTGGGAGGGAAAATTCTTCCACATTCGAGAAATTCAGCGGAAGGGCCCCGGACAAATTCTCCGAGGAGATTTCCATCCAAGAGTCTTGGAAAAATATTGCGTTGTGATTACTCCAACAGGGAAAATATGACCCAGGAGAGAAAAGGAATCAACAAAGAGGAGCAAACATGCAACATGCATGTAACGTCTCCACGGGGAAAAGAATAGAAATTAATCATTAGAGATTTTTCCTACAAGATGAAATAAGTGAAAGCTTTTAATTAGCCATGAGTAGGGGTGCTTCCCCCCCTCCAACCACACTTTAGTAAAATTGTATTTTTTACTTGTAAAAAATTAAAATGAATTTTGAAAAACCCCCTACCCCCACGACTACATATTGTGTTTGTAAAGAAGATTTTGGTGCCTCTCCCTAACCATGGCCTACAAAATTTTCCTTCACCAACAAGCCGTTAGTATGTGATGTTCGTATAGGGTTCTAATAAAAATTGGACAATCTAAATCTAATTCACAGGTTTTAAGTTTTTAATTTATAATTTTTTTAAACAACAAATTATTTAAAATAACATAAAAGTAAAAAGTTATTTTTTATATATTTTAGATTATAATTGAAGTAAGGGATATTGGAACTTGAAAGCAATATTTTAAAAGTCAGACAAGACATTGAACTGAAAAAGTAAACGATTCTTGATTTTTATAGTCTAATTGATTAGACAAGCGGTTGAATTAGTGTTGTTATAATTAAATAAAAATAATATTAAATATATATAATAAATATAAGAAAAAATATAATATATGTTAATAAATGACATAACATAATCATAAATTAATAATATTATAAATTATAATTTTATAACTTGTCAAATATATATGAATTTTGGTTAAATTAGATATGAGTAAATTTAAAAGTATTTACATATATACTTATAATTGTTAATAACTTACAAAAAATTCTCAAATCATATTTTATGCAATTGAATTGTTTAAAAATAAAGTTGACTTTCAGTATGATCTAATTTTTAAATTTGTAATTTTTAAAATTTTTAATTTTATATTTAAAATTGTTTAGTTTTATAAAAAACTCTTCAATTACTAACTTAATAATGATTCAATTCTAATTCAATTTAACTCAATTATAAAAATAATTTTTGAATTTAAATTGAGTTGTTAATGATTCAAGTATAGTCGATAATTTAATTAATTCACCTATTTGATTTGGTTTGATTTTTAAGTTGTTGCTTGTACGGCAAACCTTTGAAGGCAACCTGTTATTAAAGCGCCAACCAACTCACCAAGGTCATTCATGATGGTACCTTCGATAATTAAATAGCTTCGAATTTAACACCCACGTGGCCATATCCATCTCTTTCTGTTTCTGACATGTTTGAAAAATATTTTCTGTTTAATCATGTATCATAATCCAGGCAGAAAATAAATCCTGCCTCACGAAAACCAAGTTTATTATGAAAAATTGAAAATAGACTCCTCAACGGTTCTCGTTGTTTCGCTTAATAGGTTAGCAACGGACCTTCGTTCAGAAAGGCCATAATCTCCGTCAATGGAGTTAGTCAATCTATATATGCGGAGAAATTCAAAACGCGTCGATGGATCTCCGCTCATTCGCTCAACGCGTTCTGACATACAATTTTTTAAAAAAAGTTCTGACACGTAATAATCAAATTCAATTAATGTGTCGAGGGTCCCTGACAAAAGCTGGGCCTCCTTTTTTCTGGGCCAAAGGCAAAAGGAAAAGATTTAAATTTAAAATATTATCATATGTTTTTATTTTATATTTATTAAAATAAAAATTTATAAAATAATTTTAATAATTTTTTATATTTAATATGATTTAGATTTAATTTAAAAGTTTAAATTTAATATTAAAATTTTTATAATTATTACATATTAATTATTCAAAGGTACTTTGTATAATTTAAATTTAATCTAATATTAATTTAAATTATATAAATTATATCTGAATAGTTAATATATAGATAATAAAATTTTAATATTAAATTAAATTTAAATAATATAAAAAATAAAAATTTTATTAAAATTATTTTATAATTTTTTATTTAATAAATATAAAATAGAATAATATTAAATTTAAATCACGTAAATCAAAATTTAAATGTTTCATACTTGATCAAACTTTTCAGATCAAAATGGGAAAAAAAAATTGAAAGAATCACATTACAAGTTTTAAAATAATAAAAATTTTTACTTTAGACCCGATATATTTTGACATTGCATTGCAAGCTCAAGAACTCTTGTTACAAATTTTTTTGAGAGTGAAAATATAATTTTACTTTTATGTAATTTGAAACTCAGATCATGTACAGTATAATATCCATGAATGAATAATACGATATTCATATGTGTCTAGTTAATATGCAAGTTAAAATATATATCACACAAAGTGTCAATAGATACAAAACACGATATTTATGAATTTTCAACACAATATCCATACATATTTAGTTAATTTATAGGTTAATTAAAATAAAGTCACATAAATTATGTACAACACAATGTTCATATATGCATAATACAATATCTATGAATACACGTGAAGATATTCATGAATTCTTAATACAATGTTCATGTGTGTCCACACATGAAACATTTAGCTGAGAATGCTTAAACATTGTATTGTGTATCTATGAATATTGTATTGTATATTGTGTGCGTCACTTATATATTTTATTAAATCTAGTAATTAATTAGATATGTATAGATATTATATTATTCATCGATAGATACTGTGTTATGTATGAATTGAGTTTTTAAATTATATTAGAATAAAATTATTTTTTATTCTTAAGATAAATTACAACAAAGACTTTTAAACTTGTAGAATCTATTAGACTTGTGTAAGTTTTCGCTCTTTTGATACGCGTCAAAAAGGATCTAATCAGCATTAGGCTGACGAATACAGTCCGGACAAAAGCAACGTCCGAAACCGCGTGAGCACTGAGCAGCATAATACTATTCTAACGAGTGATAAAGAAACAACGCGTCCGGTGAACCTTAAAAGAACGATGCCGCGTGGCGCACTGGGTGATGAAGATGACTCGAAATCGCACAATTCACCATTTACCTTTAAAGGGCTACTATTTTATAGTGTGTTTTTTTTTGTTTTAATTTATTTTATAAAAAATTGCTTATTATTTTTTGAGAAAATATATTTTTATAAATTTTTATTATATTTGTTTAAATTTTTAAAAATAATTAAATTAAAAAATATTTTTTATTATTTTAAGAAGTTACTTTAAATAACTTTTAAAAATAATCTAATCCGAGAAAGTATTTAAAAAAATAAAATGTACAAAAATATTATAAAATTTTAAAATAATATGATAATAAATTAATTTTATAAAAAAATAAAAAATACATTATAAAATTTAGAAATAACTAATTAATAATAAATTTTTAATTATTATAATTAAATATAAAATAATCTCTGCTTTTTATAAAATTTTTACACAATAGATCATTTTTTATAAATATTTAAATTACTTAAAAATTATTTATTTTTAAATTTTAAACAAACAGGTCTAATAACTTGAATATAAACTCTCAAGTTAGAGTTTTATTGCTAATTGAAATGAAAGAACTAAGAAAAAAAAAATGAAATCTCCCAAAATCGACGTCATAACAAAACTAAAGAAGCCGAGAAAAATATTAAAATGTAACCCTAGTTGTTTGTTCGGTATTTTTATTAAGAAAAAAGATGTAAAGAAGCTCCCCCCCCCCCCCTCGTCACCTAACCTCTTCTACGGATCTATCTCCCGATTTTGAAATACCAGTAATAATAATAATAATTACGTAGATACTTGATCTAACATTTGTTTTCTTATTAAAAAGAGCAGTAGTATTCTATAAATATAGTCATTAATTTTAGGCGCAGACGTTGACCTCGCCGAAGCGGTTCATCTCGTTCTTGCAATAACAGCCAACGAGGAGATCGTTTATTCATTGAGAGAAGAACAAGCCAAAATTCGGATCTGTAATCCTCACAATGCCCTGCTTATACTTCATTCCCCAATAATAATGGCATCGTGTTCTTCTTCTTCTTCTTCTTCTGTTTGAATCAAGTTTTCCGCGGCTTTAGCAGCATCTAAGGTCACATCTGGCCCCCGCGAGGTCCCCACCAAGTCTTTTTTCCTTTTGGCAGGCTAGGCTATCTTCGTGGAAGGTGGGCTTGGCATTCATATATGAAGCAGATGAAGAAGGGTTTGAAAGGATCCGATACGAGAAGGAATAATTAGAACGCAAAGAAGATAAGAGCAAAGCAGAAGGATACTGAAGGGCGATGGATCATCTTGTAGATGAACACTTTACGAGAGTGCGATCAAAGAACTCGTCAAGAGAAGCTCTTGAAAAATGGAGGAATCTCTGCGGCATAGTGAAGAACCCCAAACGACGCTTTCGTTTCACCGCCAATCTCTCAAAGCGAGACGAAGCGGAGGCTATACGTCGTACCAACCAGGTATTTCAATCCTGTATGAATCGTTGATGTATGGTCCATTGTTGAAGACTATTGCGACAGATTCAAGATGCTTCTTAGTTGAATCAGACCGTGGATAAAAACAATACGAACAATGAATTTATGAAAGCCAAAGAAAGGGATTCATTTTTGGTCGACACACGAGCATTTTCGTCCGGCATATGAAATGCCCTGTCGCAAGAAATTATAATTCCATCTGAGGGAAACAACCTATTCTCCACGGATTCTGTTCTTTGACTCCCTAGAACTGCGAGAGATGAATCGGGTTGTATCTAAGATCTGTTAATTAGCTCTTCATGCTCGGCACAGCAACAAACTAAAATGGCTCTAAATGATATTTTTAAAAAACAGAGATTTCTAGTTTTAATACTTAAATTTCCTAAATTATTGGTAGACGTATCTTAAAATGTTAAATCGCGTTATGCAAGGACAAATGTATCTTCGTGACTCATATTTTATCGCGTGTTTATCTGCTTGATTTGCTTCATAGATCATAGTATTTTATCAGACTCATTTTTTTCTTTTCGGTGTTTTTTTTTTTTTGGCCGGGGGGGGGGTTGAATTTTATCGTGTGGTTTATCTGCTTTATTTGCTTCAAATATCATAGTATTTTATCAGACTCATTTTTTTCTTCTGGGTTTTTTTTTTTTGGAAGGGGGGGGGGGGTTTGAATGCAGCGCAATAATGCTGTGATTTCAAAATATTTTAAATTTGTATTCCAGAAGAAATATTTTCTTTTGTGAAAAAATAAATATTTTTATTTAGCCAAAATGTCAAGACAGGGTCATTGTTTTTCCGCCATTGATTGGGTAAAAGAATATTTTTATAATCTATGGTTGAAGATACTTACTGAGAGGAAGGATATGCTCCAATATGTAGCTAACTTAGCAGATTTCTACATGGTTTAAAAACATACTTTTTGGAAGCTTCTCTTGATGAGACCTACAGTAGAATATGTGTGTGTGTAACAAATTTATAAGAAGTTGTATTGTTCACTCCAATAAACAGTATGGCTTACTATGTGATTTCATGCAATACACAGGCGCTACCATCAAGTGGTATGTGATTGTGCTAACATAGTTAATAAGATAAGCTGTGAAGAAAACAGAGTGGCTCCGGCCTCATGATAGGTCAGATTGCTTTGTTGATAAGCATGTTCAATGCAAATCGAGAGAATCAGTACTAGTCCGATACTTTTGCGATATCAACAATTTCAAAATAAAGGCGCTATCAATCTACCACTACCAGGCCATAAATTCTAAGGGAATTAGAAATAGTACAATGTTGAAGTTGATGTGGTATGGAAATGCCGTCCCAACATAGTCATTCTATTGATTTTCCATGCCCTTTACGATTTTTTCTAGTTCTTGCTTAAGGGTAGTGATTGCTTGTGTTTCAGTTAGTTCTTCATCCAGCTTCAAATTCTCTCTTTCTCTAAATTATTTATTATTTTCGGACAAGTATGTATGGATTATCTAATAGCAAAAGAACTTGAAAATACTTTTGAAGAGTATATTACTCTACTTTTTCCTAATGCCACATTCGATGTTAATATTTCTCAAATGTTCATTGTCTTTTTGATATAGGAGAACCTCAGGGTTGCTATTCTAGTTTCCAAAGCGGCATTTCAATTTATTCAAGGTGATTTTCTTCAGCATTATTCTGAAATGCATTTTAGAGTTTGTATGCTTACTTGTCACTGCATCTGTAGGTGTGCCACAAAGTGATTATGTTGTACCTGAGGACGTTAAAGCAGAAGGTTTTCAGATCTGTGCCGATGAATTGGGGTCTATTGTTGAAGGCCATGATTTAAAGAAGCTGAAATGTCATGGTGGGGTTAGTGGTCTTGCAGGAAAGCTTTCAGCATCAATCACTGATGGGCTTGGCAATGACCCTTATCTTCTGAACAAGAGACAAAAGATCTATGGAATCAACAAATTTACTGAGAGTGAGGGCCGGAGTTTCTGGGTTTTTGTTTGGGAAGCTCTCCAAGACATGACTCTCATGATCCTTGGAGTATGTGCTCTTGTGTCTCTCATAGTTGGCATAGCAATGGAAGGATGGCCCCATGGGGCCCACGATGGTCTTGGAATTGTTGCAAGTATCTTACTGGTTGTCTTTGTGACAGCAACAAGTGATTACCGCCAATCATTACAATTCAAGGACTTGGACAAGGAGAAGAAGAAGATTACCATTCAGGTCATAAGAAATGGTTATAGGCAGAAAATGTCAATATATGATTTACTTCCTGGTGACATTGTGCATCTTGCTCTAGGAGACCAAGTCCCAGCAGATGGCCTATTTCTTTCAGGATTTTCCGTGTTGATTGATGAGTCAAGTTTAACTGGAGAGAGTGAGCCTGTGATGGTTAGCTCTGAAAATCCATTTCTTCTTTCAGGAACTAAGGTTAAAGATGGCTCTTGCAAAATGTTGGTTACCACAGTTGGGATGAGGACTCAATGGGGTAAGTTGATGGCAACTCTCAGCGAAGGAGGAGATGATGAAACCCCATTGCAGGTGAAGTTAAATGGAGTGGCAACCATTATCGGGAAGATAGGCCTGTTCTTTGCTGTAGTTACTTTTGCAGTTTTAGTGCAAGGTCTTTTGACCCGTAAGTTCCAAGAAGGAAGCCTCTTGACCTGGTCTGGAGATGATGCGTTGCGAACTTTGGAATTCTTCGCTGTTGCTGTTACAATAGTTGTTGTTGCTGTTCCAGAGGGGCTGCCATTAGCTGTTACATTGAGCCTTGCTTTTGCTATGAAGAAGATGATGAATGACAAAGCCCTTGTCCGAAACTTGGCAGCTTGTGAAACCATGGGATCAGCCACAACAATATGCAGTGACAAGACTGGAACATTAACTACCAACCGCATGACAGTTGTGAAAACATGCATTTTTATGACTAGGAAGGAAGTGAGCAACGATGCTTCTTCTACCTTACCTTCTGATCTCCCTGATTATGCTATGAAACTGCTGCTACAGTCAATATTCCTTAACACTGGAGGAGATGTTGTGGTCAATGAACATGGAAAACGTGAGGTTTTAGGGACACCGACAGATACTGCAATATTGGAGCTTGGGTTGTCTCTAGGTGGGGACTTTGAGGCAGAGAGAAATGCATGTAAGCTTGTTAAAGTTGAGCCATTTAATTCTGTAAAGAAAAGGATGGGTGTAGTTGTGGAGCTTCCTGAGGGAGGAGGCTTTAGAGCCCACACTAAAGGAGCTTCTGAAATAATTCTGGCTGCCTGTGACAAGGTTATCAATTCCAAAGGTGAGGCTGTTCCACTTGATGAAGAATCCAGGAACCATCTTAAGGTTACAATAAACCAATTTGCGAGTGAGGCACTTAGAACCCTATGCATTGCCTACATGGACTTGGAAAACGGATTCTCAGCTGAAGACCCCATTCCAGTTTCTGGGTATACTTGTATTGGAGTTGTTGGTATCAAGGATCCCGTCCGTCCAGATGTTAAAGAATCAGTTGCAGTTTGTCGTTCAGCTGGTATAACAGTAAGGATGGTAACGGGTGATAATATTGATACTGCAAAGGCTATCGCTAGAGAATGCGGCATTTTAACAGATGATGGTATAGCCATTGAAGGTCCAGAATTTAGAGAGAAGAGTCAAGAGGAATTGCTTAAACTGATTCCAAAAATTCAGGTGATTCATTCTTTTTGTATGCAGAACATGTTGATTTCCTTAGTACACAACCATGAATATGGTTCTTGATCCTTTCAATAACACAATTTCTGATTTCCTGTGTAGGTTATGGCTCGGTCTTCACCTATGGACAAGCATGCATTGGTGAAACACCTCCGTACCACGTTTGGGGAAGTTGTGGCTGTGACTGGTGATGGAACAAATGATGCCCCAGCGCTTCATGAAGCTGACATTGGACTTGCAATGGGTATTGCTGGAACTGAGGTGAGTTCAATACAGTTGCTGCCGTCTATATTTAAATGAAATAAAAATTGGCATTGGGAAAAAAGGGAAAAGGACACAATGTTTTGCTCCATACTAATTTTGTCATTTTTGTGTAGGTTGCTAAAGAAAGTGCAGATGTCATCATTTTGGATGATAATTTTTCCACAATCGTGACAGTGGCAAAATGGGGACGTTCAGTTTACACAAACATTCAGAAATTTGTACAGTTCCAGCTGACTGTCAACGTTGTCGCATTACTGGTGAACTTCACTTCAGCTTGCTGGACAGGTCACAAATCAATCATGACTAGATTGATTATGAGCTTACCTTAATGTGTCTTTCGATATTTTTTTTTATTTCTTCTTACTATTGAGGCTTTTGGAAATTGTTTCCTTCTTCATCTTACGATTTTGTATTCATGTGCTCTTCAGGAAGTGCGCCCCTCACTGCTGTACAACTACTGTGGGTGAACATGATAATGGATACACTGGGAGCACTGGCGCTTGCTACTGAACCTCCAAATGATGAATTGATGAAGCGGTCACCAGTAGGAAGGACGGGTAATTTCATTAGCAGCATTATGTGGAGGAACATATTAGGACAATCATTGTATCAGATTATGATAATATGGTTTCTTCAGACCAGTGGAAAATTATATTTTAACCTCAATGGCCCTGATGCTGATCTGATCTTAAACACACTAATTTTCAACGCATTTGTCTTCTGTCAGGTAAACAAGCCTCTGAAAACTATTGCCCTTTGATAAACTGAAGATTGTTTACACTTTCTTTAACCAATCTGCTTGGACATGTCGAGTTTCTGCCTACATGTTGCCTTATCAGACGTGGACTTTGATCTTGCAGGTTTTTAATGAAATAAGCTCACGTGAGATGGAGAAAATAAATGTTTTCAGAGGCATATTGAATAATTATGTTTTCGTGGGTGTCATCAGTTGCACTGTTATCTTTCAAATCATAATCGTTGAGTTCTTGGGAACCTTTGCAAACACCACACCTCTCACTTTGCAGCAGTGGATCTCAAGCATATTTGTCGGGCTTTTGGGCATGCCAATTGCAGCTGTCATAAAGGTGCTCTCTGTCTGAAGCCCTTGCATCGATAAATTCTTCCAAGCAGTGGTTCAAGGTCTATTCTAGTGGCAGTGCTTTCAGGTCCTCAATTGTTGTGTACATTTGTACATAGCTGTTTGGTATTGCTTGAGGTTTTCTTGGTATATACTTCCTCCGGTCCTGTTTATAAGACATCTTTTGAGGGTAATTTTTTCTTTAAAATATAAAACATCTTGTAATAATTAAACTATTTTTTTTAATTTTAACCCTATCTTGATTAGCAAGAAGGTATTTAATGTAGTTATATTATTATTTAAAGTTAAAAGTAAAAATAAAAATACATCATACTTTTTTATGATATTAAAAAAAAAACTAACTTTTTTAAAATATGTGAAATGATTAAAAGTATTTTATAATAACGATCGGAGGAAGTATATCTGTAATTTGTGCTGGAACTGACTTGTAATTAGCAACTGTAACTGACCGGCAATTAGCAACTATTATCCCCTGTTAAGATATTTCGTTTTTTATAGACTTCATATGATGCTTTTATTTATTTATCTGTAATTTGTGCTGTAACTGACCGGCAATTAGCAACTATTGTTCCCTGTTAAGATATTTCGTTTTTTAAAGATTTCATATGATGCTTTTATTTATTGAAACATCACTTTCGGGGATTAACAAGACTTATAATTTATATGAATAAATTCGGTTTGAATTTGGCCGTCCACTCTTAGGAGGATGCCCGCCACTCTGGCAGTAATATTATTTATCATCGAAGTATCAAATTCAGTGGTGTGCCAGATGAGGCTTGATCGGGTTGACTATCAAGCTGGTGTCCAGTCTTTTGTGCAACCAAGTCAAGACTGGACCAACACCGACTTATGAGACTGAAATATTTAAAATTTTGTGAAAACAACAAATTAATTTTAATTATTAGCAAAAGTATAATTCTCTCTATCTAAAATATACTCTTGAAAAGTAATATTGAGATCAAAAGATTTACCCTAAAAACATATTAGGATCAAAAGTAACATTTTTTTAAATTCTAAAAAAATCAATAATTACTCTTTCCGTTTAAAAATGTAAAGTATTTTTTAAGGGGTTGAATGTTTAAAAATGTAAAACGTTTTTTATTTTTCAAGATGTAATCATTGCTTTTTTTTTCAAAAATGCTCTTATTGATAATAACTTTATATTTATTGTAGGATATTTAATAGGGATAAATATAAAAAGATATAGTTAGTTTGAAAATAGATAACTACTTTATTGGAAAGCAAGATTCAGTTAAAAATATCTTATATTTTTAAATTGAGGGAATATATTTTTTTTTTATATAATAATAATACTAAGTTAAGAAATCAATTTAAATTTAAAATTTATATAAAACTAAATATTGAACTCTTCAAAATTTTCATGATAATAATACAATTAATTTATCACTATGACATATTAAGAAAGACAATCTTATAAAATTACTTAATGCTCATGAAAATTTAAAATCCAAAATATTTATAAACTTGTTTCAAATTGTTTTTGTTTTATTGTTCTAAAACTAATATTTTATAAAATATATTCTGAAAAAAAAAATAATGAAAATAAATGTTTTTTTTTTTCATTATGCTTTGTTCTACAAAACAATTTCAAAATATTTAAAACATATTTTTATTTTTTTATTTTTTAAAATAATATTTTATTTTTTTGTTCTTCAAAACACTTTTAAAAACATATTACTACATAGATTTTTTTTTTATTGTTTTGTTTTGAAGAATAGAAAATTATTTTCAAAATAAATTGCCAAATAAACCCTATGTTTACATATTTGTGCATGTTCTAGATGTTGAATGAGGTCAAATTTAGCTCCAATGTTTAACATAGCCCGATTTTTAAGATCAACCAAGCACACTGAGTAAAATTAAGCTTATCAAGTTATCAAATGAATTAAACACATCTAACAGGTGATACTTATCTCTCGAACATAGAGAGAGACGATGAACTTCAACATCAAACAAGTAGTTCTTTATTAAACCATGTATTTTAGTTAGGATAATTTTTTCTTAGTCCATCAAATAAAAATTGTAGATAAAAGCAAGTTTTTATACTAGGAGGGTCAAGAATCAAGGAATAAATTCCCATCAAGTTTGCAGGAAAAATAGTATGATAATGGCATTTGGCCAACCATGTATTTATACTAACAAAACTCTAGTGACACCACAAAGGAAGAAGTAGGCAAATTATTTACAGCAGGAATAAGGGCCTCGAGTAATATTCTCAAGCTTATACAACAGACAACCAAAAACAAAAATAAAGATAATACTGTTTAGTTACCAAAAAAAAAAAGATAATACTGTTTATGCTTCAGTCATGGAGATCCTACCTGTTTCATATAAATGATACATCCAAAGAGGTTCAAGCAACTTCTTTGCACTGTTTAATTTCTCCTGATCATCTTCGTGGCTTCGCCCTGCAATTTCTCTCTCTATCTTAGGGTAGATCTCTTGCAGAGAAGACAGCATTAATTCACCCCAATCCCGGTCATCTTGTCTAAATAACTTCAGACATACGAAGTGCAAGATTCCTAATGCCAATTCAAAGTCTTGTCTCTCCAGCCCAACCAATGAACAAGTCAAGAAAACAACCCCAACTGCATCCATTATGTATGAATTCCCTCTCAATTCCATAATCAGCACCTCCAGAAGTCTATTGAACGCTGAAAATTTTTCTGGTTGAGAACCTTTGTCATCCTCTTCATTTCCAAGTGTTTTTACTCCAACGAGTTCAGCTTTGGCTAAAATCAAGGGCCACTTTGGAAAATGAAGCTTCATTTGGCCTGATGAAGCTGAATTTGTCTTATCACCCTGAGTATGTTTCAATATGGTTCCAGATCCTAATGCCAGAACCAAATCAGGCAGCCAGGGTTTCACTGCTGCAACAAGACCCGATGCACATCCAGAGCCACAATATAATTCAATTAGGATAATTAAATCCAGCAAGTCATTGGCAAGATCAAAAGTTTTAGGTGAAGCTGTGGAAGATTCACTTAAGTGTCCAAGTATCAGATTGAGTAACTTTGCCGCATAGGTGAAAGAGCTCTTCAGACAGAAAATTGTAGCCTTCAGATCCTCTTCATTAAGATGAATATGGTTATGATGTGGCCGGTCAATTAAAGATATGATGTGTTGTACACATCTTGAAGTGTAATTTAACAATACTCCAGGTTTTTTAGGAGCAATACCCATTGCAGTGGTGTCAACCATGAACATGAGAACAGCTGTAAGCATCTTCACTTTACACAATACTCGTGGCTCATTGTATCCAGATCCTAGGCAAATGACATAAAAATGTAATGAACAGAAAAAGGAGAATATCTGAACTCTGAAGACATATTCAAAGACGGACCAAATTCATGACCCAAGTCCATCATAAGCGGTCCAATTCAAGTGTTCAAATGTTAATCAGTTGGCAACAATCAGGCAGCCAAATATAACTTGACCACAACAAAAAAAAAAAAAAAAAAAAAGAGCTTCAACAGAGGTATGACGTCTATTCTGCATAATAATGAAAGTTAGATCCGAGCTAAGAAACAGTCCTCTAACATCACCTTCTTATTAATTCTACTTTCTTATGCAAATATAAGAATGATAATGTGACTCTAACCGAAAATAATATCCGATAAATTTCTTGACGGGCTAGTAATAATATACGGGGGGGGGGGGTTTGGAGCACAAAATTGAACAAGGGAGGTACATAAAATAAGATACTCAGAAGAGGTCAAAATCTGTGATAAATGATCTTCTGAGATATAAAAAACCAATGAATACTAATACCTGCATGTTCCGAACCAAATCTTATAGTGTGCTACAGATCAAATCAAGTTTTTCACACCGTAAATACTGACAAAGCGCTGCGTTAACTGAGTTTCAAGAACTTCGTCAAAGCAAGGCCATTATTTCTCAATATGACACAGTATAGTAGAGATTATTATTATTATTATTATTATTATTATTTTTGCATATTTAAGTCAAGTTTATGCTCCTTGCATGATCACTTACCACCGTTATTCAGGCTGGATGCCTCTGTAGGAGATGACCTGCGCCTTTGAGTGGGATTTTTTTCCGTCCTTCTGGTGGACTGCATGTTGTCTAAATCCATTTTGCCATGCGTTGCACCGTCATCTGCTACAAATAATTTTTCTAAACAGCTGAATATGTTGTCCATTGTTGCCTCTAAAACAGTCTGCGTAGAAAATTTTTGAGGGGAGGTTAAAGGCTAGGCAACTGACATACTCATTAGCAATGTTTCAGGCAGGAACAATAGTAAAGCAAGGTTCACAAACCATAATCATTGTATTTAATGCATGATGATTCTACACAAAAATCTAGGGCAAGTTTAAAAAAAATTGAACTGTTGAGGTGCATGTGAATATTATGCGATAATGGGGAATCAAGAGACCTGAAAATTTCAAAGGAGGCAATCAATACAATAAGCTGCACAGCTGGAATGTTTTCTGGCAGCATGACACCATGGTGGGTAGCGATACCAATTTTTAGCAGATAATGAGAATCAACAAAAACTATCCCAAAGTATCAAATATCAAATTCAGAATCAAACATAAACTAATCACCTAATCGCTACATTTTACATGAAATTTGTAGCAGCAGCCAAGGTCTGAATTCATCAGCATGCCTCATAAGCCTCTACCATGCTGATTAGACAACAATTATCTTTGACAACTGCTTTGGTCTCTACAAATACAAGATATATCTACTTATGATTTTGAAGTTCACAAATGTTCATTTACTAGTCTAGAAACAAAAAGGAAGCAAAAAAAAAATGAAGGGGAACGAGAGAAAAAGGTTCAGATGCCATTGCCATGAAACAATAATTGCAGAACCATTTTCCGACAATAGATATAGAAAGCAGACAGCTAAAAAGGCCAAAATACAAGAAAGTCTGCTACAGCAAATTTTTAACAGACCCAAAATTTGAGCGAAAACCCAAGAAGGAATTTTACTTGCCTCTGAAAGCAACACAGAAGAATTATTTTTATCTTTTTCCTTCCCGTTATCCTTTTTCTGTATAGTACTACGATCAATATTGTCAAGAGACATTTCCAGAACAAGAGCCATATATGCCAAGACAGGACAAGTGTCCAAGTATTCATAATGCCCAAAATGCACAATGCTGGCCTCAGATATCACTTTAAGAGCAAAAAATGACATTTCTAAACTGTGAGATCTCAGTAAAGATTTCTTTGTATCTTCATGCAAAAGCATGTCTCTAATTTGCCATGCTATCCCCACAGCAACTGAATAATCACCCTCAAAAGATTGCTTTCTGTTGATAACTTTCAACTTGATTGGAAATTTTCCAGATGACTTAGGCGTCTTCCTTTTTGCAGAAGAAGCGCGGAATGATGCCATTTCTATGCCAAATTTAATATGACAACGATAGGCCGTCTTATGCAAGAGGGTTGATAAAGTTTCAAACATGTCATCAAAACTTCCTGAAGAAAGTAACAACTTATGCGCAGACCTTAATTCAGCTTCGCAATCAACATTTTTAGGTAAACCATTGCAGTTTGTGACTACATACATACATTTTTCAAGGATTCCAGCAATGCCATCCGGACATATGGTAGAAACAATATTGAATAAAGAAGAATGGGCTTGACTTGTAGATGCCACTGCAAGTAAGGCTTTCCCTTTGTCGCCAGCAATTAATTCTTTTAGGGCGTTTCTATCACACGGTTCACTAGCCAAGTTATCACATAGGTAGCTAGAAGCAACAAGAAAGCCCTCAATCTGGTGCTCATCAAACTTATTAGGAGACAAGGCCAAACTCAAGAATATTTTGACCAGTTCCATAAGATGCTTTCTAGATGGTCCTTCTGACATGGCAAATTTACAAAATCTTGCCCCGGCAATAGGAGACCTTTTCACAAGAGTCACACAGCGATTACATGCCTCCTCAACTGGCGCTTTCAAGGGAAAGTATGAAGGTATAAGCAATTTGGTTAACTTTTGAGCTACAAGAGTTTGATCACTAGCAAGCACCGACAATAACGTATCAAGACCCACCACCTAACAGAAAAAAAAAAACCGAAAAAAAAAAAAGCGAGAGAGACGAAAAAAGTGTCAGCCAGCCAAATCATTTTTAGCAGGGATATAAAAGGCACAAGATTTTGCATTTCTAGGGCAATTCTTAATCTAGAGCACAGTTGTACCTTGTTGAACTGAAAATTTTTTATAGCATTTAGATGGAGAAGCAGATCTGCTGCAGCAACTCGTACGGTGAGGATACTGTCCAGTATTAGATGCCTCAGTCTCGGCAAGAGCACCTTAAGAATTTCATGAGAATGAGGATTGCCAAGCAGATAAACAATGCCTTTAAGTGAAGAAAGCCTAACCTCATGACAAACATCATGACACATGTCATCAAATATTTTTCTAATAATCTTTGTTATTGTTGGTGAAGGAATAATTTCCCAATATAGATGAAGAAGTCGGCATGAACCCTCCACAGCAATTTTTCTCACTTCTGGACAATCGTCCGTAAGTAATCTTTCCAACAAAAAGAACTGTTTATCAAGCAACGTATCCTTCTCCTCTTTTGTGGCGTCAGGATCTTCAAGAGGAAACACGTCCAGAAGTATATGCAAAGCATTCTGACGAACATTCGAATTTGCTACCTATAGAAAACAGGTAAAGCATCACACAGAAAAATTATGCTCATGTAGAGGCAAAATTAATGGCTTGGGACACTTCTAAGCCAACATAGTGATTGAACTTATATCGAATAGGTCAGCAGATCCTAAACGTCATATGGTTCACGTTAGAGTTATTTAAAAAAACAAAATAAAGAAAGCATGAAAGAAAGTGAAGTAAAACTATAGTTCATTGTGACACCTCTACGCATTACGTACTCGTTTTAGCAAACAATAAAAATATAAAACTTCGGAAACTCACATGCAGGCTTTCTCTGCTCCAAAGATTAGTGACTATCTACATCTGAAGACTATTGCTCTAAATGTAACACAAGATACCTAGAGCCATTAACGCCTTCCTACTACGAGTGACAGCATACTTTCCCTTCAATGAACTACTTCATTGCTCCCCTTAGCCCCGTAATTCTCCTTTTCCAGTTAGATTTGTGATTTAGACTCCCCAGCTGTACATATCAACAAGCAGCTTTTTCTGCAGATTTCTTGTCAAAGCAATATTTTACACGAGAGAACATGTCTGCTACAATTTTTATTATTCAGAAGCATCACCAAATTCTTAAAGAAAAACATGTAAGCAGGCACAGATGCATGTATAAATGGAAGTACCTGCAGAGATCTAAATATCACAGGCTCTGCAAGTCGAAAAAGTAGCTTCTCAACCCCATTGGTAGTCCTCTGACCAATAAACGCTCCCAAAACCCTTCTAATGTACGAAGCAAAGGTTGCAGAACTGGCATGTATGGCACCCTCAATCAAATCCCGCAAAAACCTATTCTCAATTTCCACCCTTGAATCGGCTTCAGCGGCTTTCCAGGCCCGAAACAGAATATCCCCATAAGCCTCCAGCATAGACTTCCTTCCAAATGGTATCTGAGAACGAATCATTGCCAATAATTCTTTAACAAGTTGCTTGCTTAACCCAAAAATAAACGATAGGAAGCGCCGCCCGTCCTCTGTTTTCAAATACACCGGTGATAAAACACATCGAACCAGCAAGAGTTTCAAATCCTGAATGCTGTCGTCATCAAAATCAAGCAAAAGAAAAGCCTCTCGCAACACACAAACTCTATGCACATCCACCTTCTTCTTCAGGGTCAGCGATCTAGCGAGTAGAAAAGGGAGAAACTGAGAAATCAACGATTCGCTGCCTGTCAGATTCTTCTTCCACCACTCTTCACACAAAACTTCAATCTCCGATGATAAAACAGAAGCCGACTCAAATATAACCAAATTATCATGCAATGCCTGAACACCAGGCAGTAAATCGGAGGGTGAGAACACATTTTGGGGATGCAAAATGCATAACAGCGTAATGCGAGCTAGAATTTCGAGACGCCGAAGAATGTTTTGCTTCTCATCCTCGATAGTGGAGCCATGGCGTTCCCTTTCGGGCTCAGTTGGGGTCTTACAATGGCGCGAAGAGCGTCGGAGGCGCTTAGTGGGAGGGGAGCGAGGTGACTTCGAGAATCCTAGGTTCGAAGAATTTGGTTCTAGAAGATTCCGGAAGGATTGTACTGAGTTCAAGATGGAATCGCAGAGAGAAAGAGGGAGAGAAGAACAGAGATCGGACGAGGGCTTAATCATATGAATGAGAGTTTTGAGGGAGGACTTGGAAGATTTTAGGCTTAGCGCCGTGGCTGATGAGAGAAAGTCCTCCGCCGAGGTCTGGAGAGATGAGCGAAGTCTCCTATCCATTTCGAAGTACTTCGGACATGGAAGTGGACTTTGTGAAATGTAAATAAGAACTTTCACATTCCCGCGACGTTTAATAAGTTATGTGACTTGTGGAGAGATGAGAGATCTACAAATTTCGTTTTGCATTGTTTTTCGGCCACAGGTCTTCAAAATTGTTGCTTGGAGGGAAACGTAGGCAATTTAAAACCTTTCATGAGCTTCGTTCGCTGTTAGACTCTACCGAGTCTGGACTCTGGACTGATAACGTGCGGACCTCTCGAACTCAAGGGCGTCCAGGCCCAAAAATGGGCATGATTTCACTCTTATTTTGGCCATAGTGCAATTATTATCTTTCGTTTCGTTTATATATTCCTTTCAATTTTTAAAATGTAAGTATTACCAAAAATAATATAATATTTTTTAATATTTAGATATTTATAAATATCAGGAACTTTTAATTTTTTAAGATGTAATTAATATTTTAAAAAATATTCTTAATATCAGCTTATATTTATTTTAAAAATGAAATATCTTAATTAAATAAAAATAATATCAATTTAAAAATATTTAATTAAATTATTGGGGTGATATTTAATTAAAAATATTTTTTATTAAAAGAAATGTCGATTTTTTTATTTACTTGATTGTTAAATGAAAGTATTTGTTCACGACATTTTGTGAAGTATTGATAATGCATCATTTCTACAAATACATTTGATAATTTTAAGCACGTGTCTCATTAATTATACTGGAGAGATAAAATTGGGGTTAAGGGTTAATTTTTTTTATCAAAGGTATTCTTTAAATGTTACGATAATAATAAAATAAAATAAAAAACACAGGGGGCGGTGAGTTACGGGAGAGGAAAATTAATGCCAGGTCAAAATCAAAACATATCAAGCTAGTCTCCTCATGACCAATGAGGTTCAGTTTGGGGTAGCGCCACGTGCGACACGCCGACCCATCAACTCAAACTCGCTGGTGGAAACATTGCAGTAATATCGACCAATGTCGCGCCGACTCTTGTTGTCTCGTAATTTTTTACATTGTGTCGGTGATTGAGATGTTTGCTGTCTCCTTCAACTGCCTGTGATGGTGGATTCACCGTTCATTAGCTTATCAAGTGCCTGGCTTGTATATTTCAGGCAGGCCACGACAAAACTATCCCTGCCACCTTGCCACCCCAAAAGCATATGCCGGTTGGCTGCTTGTGGTTAGGGGTGTTCATAGGTTCGGTTCGGTTTGGTTTTGGGCAAAAACCAAACCGAACCGAACCGTTCGGTTTACTGATAATTGGGACCTGATCGGTTTTTATAAAGTTCGGTTTGGTTCGGTTTTATTTTCGGTTTGGTTCGGTTTGGTTAAGGTTTTGATCAAGTTTTAATGCACTTGTTTAATTTTTTTTTCTTTTCTCCATCTTCATAATGGTGCTATATACTAAAATTAAATTTAATTCTTTTTTACTCCTTTTTTTCATAAATAGAGGTATAAAAATATAATAAAACTTTAATGTGATAACAATAATTAATCATAAAAATTCATATAAGTTTTTAATATTAAAATTATTTAATATTATATATTTTCATTTAGATCCTTTGAAAATGTTTATCTATATATCTATATTTTAATAAATAATGAAAAACTTATTATACAAAATTCAAAACAAAATGTTTCTTGTAGATAAATTAAATACTGAGGCTTTTAGGTTGTAAATAATTAAATGATGATCATAGCATGATTATTATAATTACTTAATATTATGCATTTTCATTCAAGTATTTTAAAAATGTTTATTTATTATTCTAAAAAATTCAAAACAAAATGCTTCTTGTAGATAAATGGTTATATATTTTATAAATAAATAAATAGAATTTTTTTAATCAAGTTTGGTTCGGTTTGGTTCGGTTTCTAGTATTCAAAACCGAACTTGAACCGAACCAATCGGTTTTTATGTCATAAAAACCGAAGCAAACCTAATTATTGTTCGGTTTTGATCGGTTTTTATCGGTTTGGATTGGTTTGGATCGGTCCTTTCGGTTTGGATCGGTTTTGAACATCCTTACTTGTGGTTTCTACTTTCTACTCATTTTATTACGCGCGCTTGGTTTTTCATTTTGACTTGCGGTACTTCCACAAAGGCCACACGTACGATATCTCCCAGCTGCTTCTCTTTTCCATGCCCCCTTTTCGTCCTTTTCTTTCACATATCTTTGAGTTCTGAATATAGAAGATGGGAAAACATAAAATAAAAAAAAAACATAATGTTTAATCTTTATAATTTTTTACTTTTAATCCCTATTATTTTTGTTAATATTTTCACTTTTTAGTCCTTATAATTTTTAAAAATTGGATGACTTTTATATTTCAGATATCTATAATTTTTATTTTTTTAATAGTTTTAGTCTTTATAAAAACTGAAAACATTGAAAAAAATTACAAAAACTAAAACCAAAGAGTAATGAAATTATAGAGATCAAATATTATATTATTTTTTTATATAAAATCAACATAACATCGGCTAATGGCATTCTCTCTCCGCACCTCTAACCCTAAAGGTTTTTTTTCGGAGGGGGGGCCCTTCACCATATAGATTTTGGATGTCTATTTTTCATTAATAACATCTACATATTATCTTGAGCTCGTTGATGGCTTTAAAACAAATATTATTGTAATAGGAATCTTCATGCTCAATAACATCGTTTCTTTTTAGCCATATATCTCGTGTGCGTGCGTGCGTGCGTGTGTTATGGCCACCCTAGACAACATAACGCTGGAGCTGATATCAAAATCCATGCATTCCATAGTTGAAAAAATTTTACAATGTTAGAAGGGGAAAAAGATTTGCTTTCATTACCTCGAGACCATTATTAAACGCACACGGAACATTGTTTTGCAACTTTTTTTTTTGAGAAAATAGCTTCTAAGGATCACTGTATAAAATGTATATCCCATTAGGACCAAATGATTTTAAAATAGCTTCGTAGTTCCACATATTAATTCCATAAGCAAAAAAATTAAAATTCCCCTCAAGTAGTTAAAAAACAAAAAGAAAAAGAAACCCCTATTATCAATGGCGTCAAGGTCATTGGAGGCCCTGCTGCTAATGGGGTCGCTAGCACTAAAGCTCTGATGTTGATGATATTTTATTTGAGAAGTAAGCTTTTTAGGTGGCTAAGAGAGGGTTTGATTTCATGGCCTGTAGTCACCTAAAAAATTTGGTGGCCACTAGGACACCAAATCCTTTAATAGCATGCGGCAAAAAAAAATATAAGTGGTAAACTAAGCACAAAGCCACTTTCATGTAATAACATAATGGTGTGTTGTTAATTTCTGAACGAAACTTGTTATTTTAGAAATGTTATGGTTAATCTAACATGGACAATTAAAAATTGAGAACTTCAAAACTTCACTCATTTTACTTATTAAACGTTCTAATATATTATTGTCAATCACAAATAGATTATTGTCAAAACCAAACAGATATTTGTTAGTGAATTACTAACACGTGCAACTAAATTCTTTTTATCAATTTTTTAACTTGTTAAAACCATAATAGATTCTTATTAATTTCAAATGAATTATTGTTATTTTACGAATGTCACTTGTTAATCTAACATGAATAATTACAAATTGAGAGTTTGGGAACTTTACTCATTTTGCTTATTGAACATTCCAATGTATTATTGTCAATCACGAATGGGTTGTTGTGAAAACTAAATGGATACTTGTTAGTGAATGGCTAACACGTACTTACCCTTCCTATCAATTTTTCGAACAAATATCCATTTGATTTTGACAACAACCCATTCATGATTGACAACAATACACTGAGATGTTCAACAAGTAAAATAAGTAAAGTTTTCAAGCTCTCAATTTATAATTATCCATGTCAGATTAGCAAGTGACATTTGTAAAATAACAAAAATTCATTTAAAATTAACAAGAATCTATTATAATTTTAATAAGTTAGAAAAATTGATATCAAGGGTTTAGTTGTATGTGTTAGTCATTCACTAACAAGTACTCATTTGGTTTTGACAACAACTTATTTATAATTGATAACAATATATTGGAACGTTTAACAAGTAAAATGAGTGAAGTTTTAAAGCCTCCAATTTATAATTGTCCATGTCATATTAACAAGTGACATTCATAAAATAATAAAATTCATTTAAAAATTAACAACATATCATTATGTTATTACATGGAAGTGACTTTGTGCTTGATTTACTTTTTTTTTTTGCCATATGTTATTAAAGGATTTGGTGACCTAGTAGTTACTAAGCTTTTTAGATGGTTAAGGGTTATAGGATCAACCTTTCCTTGTCACCTAAAAATCTTACTTCCCAAATAAAAAGTCACCGGCGACCCCACCGGTAGTAAGGGCTCTAATGACCTTACTGTAGATGATGGTCTGACAACTAGCAAAGGCGACAGTGAGAGTTTCTTTTTTTTTATTTTTTAACTACTTGAGGGGTATTTCAGTCTTTTTACTTATAAAATTAATATGTCTAAATGACTAGAAGACTACGGAACTATTTTGAAATCATTTGGTCCTCACGGGATATAAATTTTATACAATAGTCCTTGGATGCAATTTTCCCTTCTTTTGTTTTGATGTTTCCATTCTCACAAGCTTTGTTCTAACTAATCCATCTTTAACAGACCATAATTCATCATTAAAAGCAAGTCATGCAATAAAAAGACATCATGTAAAGAGTATCTAATTTCCAAATAATAACTAACCAGTAGTGTAAGGTGTAGAAAAATAGGATATGTAATTAATATTTTAATATTTGATATTGAGTGTCATTTAATATTGGATGCCAATTATGTTGTATCAATGTCTATCATTAGTGTATAAATACTCATTTCACACTTTTAATGAAGTAGTAGTTAAAATTTGTCGTGAATATTATTCTGTTAGGCTTAGCTTCATTTTGTAGAAAATCCTACAAGAATTAGTATAGGACTTTCAACAGGTATCTAGAGCCTACTCAATTTTGGGCCTCCTTTACAGGACTACTCACATAAACAAGGCTTGAAAATCAAGAATCAAGCATCTGAACAAGCACAAGACAATGTGTTTTCAAGACTTGGTCTGATGAAAACTTTAAATCTCATCT